CGTGGTGCGGCATGGCCGGCTGCGCGATGGAGCGCGCCTCGCCGCGGCGGCCGGTTTCGCCCGGCAGGCGGCGGGGGCCGCGGGCGGCGTGGACGGCGGCTGGGGTCCGGCTTCGGGCTGCTGGCGGCTGCGGTGGTTCCTCTCCGTCGTGGGCGTGCGGCGGTGGTGCGGCTCGGCCGGTGGCGGTCCGGCGACCTGGTGATGGTGGCCGGCGGTGCGGGTGGTGGTGGTGCCTCCCTTGGCGGCTTTCGGTGTGGGGAGGAAGGGAACGGCTTGGACAGGGGCGGCGGAGCCGACGGCGTGCCGGCTGCAGTGCGAAGGCGGGAACTTTACGGGTCTGCGTTCCCGGCCGGGCCTGGTGTGTTCCTGCCATTGCGTCTGGTCAGCTACCGTCTTCGGCGGTGGAGGTGGGGCCCTCCCGCGTGCCGACGGTGTTGCTGCCTTGTCCCGGCTCCTCTTCTTCATCGTGCCGACCATGCTTCACGGTGCCGTGGTGAGACAGCGTTGAACGCTTCGTGTCCGGGTGGCGCAGGGTGAGGGTCTGTTTGGCGGCGAGCTTCGGAGTGCCTGAGTTGGAGGTTGGGATCGGGAGAAATCTCTGTTGGCTTGGCCGACATCGACGCGGTGGCGCTTGTGGGTGCCGCCAGACCTTCCTGGAGGGCGTCGGAGCTACCCTTCCTCTCTCCTCACCGTGTACCGGGGGAAACCCTTGGCAGCAGCGTCGTCTTCGTCGCGTCCCTTCTTGGAGGTGTTGATTGGTACCGGTGCTTCGGAGGCTCGGAGTCTGGTGGGAGATCTCCGGTGGGTGCAGCGGCCACGAGGCTTCTTCGTTTCTTTGTCAATCCGTCGTTGTTGGCGTTTGTTTCTCTTGTATTTTCTCTTTCTTTTCTTTTGGGCGTGACTGTGCTGCTTCCATCCCAGCACCTATCGTTGGATGTTTTGGTTGGTTGCTTTGTATACAAAGCGGGAGGAAACCCTTTTTCGGAGGCACTACACTACACAGGTTGCTTGCTAGGTCGCCCCTCATCCTTAGAGAGGTTTTCTTATCCGCGTACGTAAAATTCAAAACGCGTGTCTTGTGCATATCCACCCGTCGACGACAAACAGTTTCCAGTACACGTTTGCGATTATAATGACATTGTGATTGAGTAACACAAGAGTTTTTGGTGAATTGTATGTAACATTATTGTGCATGTTGTCCCTTGTAATTAGGATCACACGATGGCCATGGCCTGCGTGCCACAGATGTAGGGCGATCGGTTCTCCCTCTGTATAAATAGCATGTACTCTGACAATGTGAATACAGATTCAGTTTTATCCTTCCAACTTGTTATCAGTTACCAGGCCTCTTCCCCATGGACGTCCGTGGCACTCCCTCCTCCGGCACCTCCAGCTCCGCCACCTCGCCGAGCTCACTGTTGTCCTCCACGACGCTCGCGGCAGACACCGCCGCGACCTCCTCTCCGGCCACTGCTCCCCTCTCCTTCTCCGGCACCTCAGGCCCCTCTGCATCCCAGTTTGCCCCGCTGTTCGCCTCCTCCCACCCGGCGCCGCCGGCACCCGCGCCCCGCACCTCAATCTTCAACGACCGCATTACAAACCACATCACCTCCTCAATCCCGCTGAGCACAACTACCACAAGTGGAAATCGTTCTTCTTCATGGTCCTTCTTCGCTACGGAGTCACCTTCCTCATCGAGCACCCGCCGCCTCCTAATGCCGACGCCCACTACATTGAGCTTGATGCCCATGTCGCGCTCTGGATCTACGCGACTCTCGCGGATCCCCTCATCGACCATGTCGTCGGTGCGACCTCCACCTATGCCCTCTGGACCAAGATCCAATCCTTCTTCCTTGCCAATCGGGCCGCCCGCTTCATGATGTTAAACCGTCAGTATCGGAACCTCAAACAAGGTGACCTCTCTGTCATCGAATATGCTCGCCGCATCAAGCTCCTCACCGACGGACTCGCCGACATCGATCACGCCATCACCGAGGTGGACCTCTCTACTCAGTTTCTGCACGGCCTCGACAAACGCCTTGAGACCATCCCTGTTGTCGTCGGTGATAAGGTGTCGGACATGTCCTTCGACGAGATCCTCTCCCGCGTCGTCCTCGCCGAAGACTCCCAGGCGCAGCGCGCTGCCGAAGAGAGCGCTTCGGCGTTTGCTCTCCCTAGTGGCGGCTCCTCTGCCGGCGGCGGCTCCTCCGCTGGCGCCTCTGGATCAGCTGGGCACTTTCCTGGCGATCGCGGCGAGCGCACCCCTGATCGCGGTGACCGCTCCTCCGCGCCGCATCCTGCGCAGCACACCCGTGATCGTGATGACCGCGGCCGTGGCCTCGGCCGTGGCCGTGGACGTGGGTGCTCCGACTCGGGCAGTCGCGGTGGTTCGTCCCAGGCTCCACTCCCGCCCTTCACGGGGTACTTCGCGCCCTACGGCATGGCGCTGCCGGCCCCGCGCTCCAGCCGGGTGCCCCCCAACTCCGCGGGGGTTCTTGGCCCTCGTCCCGGCACGCATGCTCATGCTTATCAGATGTACCAGCTGGCGCCCTCGATGCCGTCCCCGTACTACCCCGTGCCACCACCCTCTTGGGAGCATCTCACCATGTTGAACGCCGCCTACAGCAACGGCGGCATCCCCTCCACTCCCTCGTCCGAGTGGTTCTTGGACAGCGGCGCCTCCTCTCACGTCACCAGCACCCAAGGTACCTTAACCTCGTATAGTTCTTCCTTAAAGCACTTACCTTCTAGTATACTTGTCGGCAATGGTCACCGTCTCCCTGTCACGGCTACCGGATCAGTCTCTCTTCCTCCCAATGATTTTCGTCTTACAGATGTTCTTGTCTCCCCCAATGTCGTAACTAGCCTCATTTCGGTTCGCAAATTTACTCGTGATAACTATTGTTCTGTTGAGTTTTACCCATGTGGTTTTCTTGGGGGAGACAAGAACATCTGTGATAACTCTTGTTCTGTTGAGTTTTACCCCTGTGGTTTTCTTGTGAAGGATCTTCTCACACGGAGGGTTCTCATGATCTCCATTAGCAATGGCGACCTCTAGCCATTCACCGGCAATAAAGCTTCTCTGGCGTCCGCGCTCATCGCCACGGCCTCCTCGGATATTTAGCATCGCCGCCTCGGCCACCCCGGCGCTCACTCCCTTTCGGTTTTAGCTCGTGATCTTCTGCCCGATTGTAATAAAGCCATACACTCTCCCTGCAGTGCATGCCATCTTGGCCGCTAGCCTTGCCTACCATTTTCTTCTTCTTTGTTTACAGCAAAAATTAGTAGAGCAAAAGTTTGTTTATAGCAAAAAAATTAATTTAGAGCAAAGGATGTTAAGTAGTAGATGTTAGAGCAAAAATTAGTTTAGAGGAAAAAAATTGGTTTACAACAAAAGTTAGTTAGGGCAATACGGTTTAATTAGGGTAGATGCTGCTTGTATAGTATATAGTGATACTAGTAGATGTTAATTAGGTTAGGGCAGTAGTGGTACTAGTAGATGTTAATTAGATGTTTTTCAGTTAGGCAGTAGAGTTTTGCTAGGTTAATTAGGTTAGTAGTGCTGCTAGTAGTAGTGCTACAGTAGGTTAATTAGGTGAAGTTAAATGAATAACCTAAATGAATGAAATTAGTAGTTAACTGATTTTTTTTCCTTTCATTATTATAGAACACTAAAGTTAACTGAATTTTGTTTTATTAGTAGTTAAATGAATTTTCTTCTACATTTTGCTTTTGAATTAGCTTGTGAAATTTGGACATGTGGTTGCTCGTTGTATATTTGGACATGTG